CCCAGCTGTCCTGGAACTCACTATGTAGACCAGGCTGGGCTTGGACTCACAGAGATCCACCTGCCTCCGCCTCCCAAGTGCTGGGACTAAAGGTGTGTGCCACCATGCCTGGCAAAAAATCATTTATTTTTAAAACCCTCATCCTATTTATATATGTGGAGTTTGCAGTGATTTAGTTAAAGATTTGAAATTTGTTCTGTGCCACAGAGCAGAAAGAGGATACTACCTTAGTGTGATGTTGACAGGCTTTTTTTTGTTGTTGTAGTTGCATGATGATTTGATGCTTTAGAATGTTTCTGGAAAGTTTTGTTTAAAGACATTATTTATCTCATAATTTATGTTTGAAGTCAAAAGCTCAATAATAGTGGTAGACATTGTTTACTCCAGGAGGGGTAGTAAAATATAAAATCATTGGTTAGTAACCTGACTGTTCTGATGTCCTAAAGGGCTTGTAGTAAAGGTCATGCTCATAAAGGTTACATTTTCTGATTGATTTTGAGACTCACTTGCAAAAGTTGCTTGTTTCTATTTTACATAACTTTAAAAATGGTATTGAGAATTGAACTTTGGGCCTTGCACATGTTAGGCAAATGCTGTACCACTGAGCAATTCCTCAGCCTCTGTATATTGCTGGTTGAATTAAATGTATTGAACTTGTTTGTATTATACCCAAAGTCTTGGAGGTTCTGAGTTTTTGTGTTTTATTTTGCTTTGTTTTTGTTGCTTTGAGACAAGATCTTATGTTGCCAAAGCTGGTCTTGAACTCTGATCCTCTCCCAAGTGCAGGGATTACAAATATATACTACTATGCTTGGCCCTTTTAGAGAAAGTATTTTATATTGCTCCATTGTCAAATTAGTCTCTGTGTTAGTCAGCTTCCCATCATCAACTACCTCTCATAATTAGCTTTATAAAGAAAGAAGGGTTGGGACTGGAGAGATGACTCAGCGGTTAAGAGTGCTGCTAGTTGTTCTTGCAGAAGACCTGGGTTCAAATCCCAGCACCCACATGGTGGCTAACAACCATCCATAACTTCAGTTCCAAGGGATCTGTTGCCCTCTTCTGACTTCCACAAGCATTGCACGACATGGTACACCTACCTACATGCAGGCAAACACTCATAACACATAAAATAAAATATTTTTAAAAAGAAAGGAGAGTTGGGGCTGGAGAGATGGCTCAGTGGTTAAGAGCACTGACTGTTTGCAGAGGGCCTGGGTTTGATTCCCAGCACCCACAAACCGTCCTTAACTCCAGTTCCAGGGGAATCTGAAACCCTCTTCTGACCTCTGCGGCATTGCGTGACATGGCTGCACTCACATACATGCAGGCAATACACTCATACACATAAAATAAAAAAAAAATAGTAAAGAAAATATTTTTTAAAAGTTCAGTCCCCACTCAGTTATATGAGGCAGCACACCATAGCAAGAACACTTGGTAATGCAGAAGCACCTCCTTCATATCCAGGAAGGGAGAGAAAAAGAGCAAAAGGGACCTGGGTCTCACAGTCACCTTCAAAATCATACCTCCAGTGATCTAAGGACTTTCCCACTAGGCTGTCCTAATTCCTAGTGGAATTAATTAAACACCATGTCTTAAAAAATGTGGGCCTTTTGAGGACATTCAAGATCCAAACTGTAGTATCCAAGCTGCAGATTCAAGCTGTAGTTGTTTCTAAGCTCAGGTAGTCCCAGGTAGTGACTTTCTTCTTTTCTTTTCTTTTCTTTCTTTTTTTTTTTTGAGACAAGGTCTCTCTAGCTCCAGCTGGCCTAGAACTCACTATGTAGACCAGGCTGGCCTTGAACTCAAAGAGATCCACCTGTCTCTGCCTCTGGAGTGCTAGGATTAAAGGTTGGTGTCACCACCCTGGCCCAGATATTGACTTTAATTTTAGAAATGGTGTTTTTCAGTTTTAGACTTTGCTATTCTTCCCCCCACACACACAGGTTTTGTTTCTTTGCTGATAACCCCCCCATTCATTACACATATTTTTCCATCATATTCTTGAGCATAATGTTTTTTATGGCTATCCTTAAGTCCTCATAATTCCAGCAGCTGGGTCATCTGAGTCTGATCTGATCTTCACTGGATTCCCTCCCTCCCTCCCAGTATGAGTTGGTTTTTCCTGTTCGTTCATATAGCTAATAAGTTTCTCTTGTACCTTGGGCAGTGCAGATTTATATATGTAAAGACTCAGGATACTCATATTCCTCCAAAGAATCTAATAGTCTGTTTTGTTTTATTATTAGATAGGTAATTATCTTGACTAGGATTAAACTTATAACTGTAGCAGATATTGTCTCTTTAACTTTAGCTCTTGCTTGGTATGTTTTCATTTGTGTGTAGTTTAGGACAGCCAGAGATTTGGGCAGAATTTATACTTCTTTTCTAGAGTTTCCTTTATTCACTTTCTGCCTGTTGAGGCTGCCCTGTATTGTTTTCTGGTTCAGAAACATTAAGGGTTTTTGAGTTGTAGCTGCTAAGACCACTGACTATGGTGGTCCTTACTGCTGTTCTTTGTGGGGGAGGGGAAAGAGAGACAGGGTCTTGCTGTGTATCCAGTCTGGCTTGCAGCGCACCATCCTTTTGCCCTAGCCCCCTGAGTGCTAGGACTGTAGGCCCACACCACCATGCTAGGCTCTCAATGCTGTTTCTTTTCTTCCTCCTGCCTTCTTCTGGTTGCTCTTCAGTTCTTTAGGGTGGTTTATTAGTATTAGTTTTT